GCGCGTAGCGCCCAAGGTCTTTGACCTCCAATCAATCCATGGCCCATGGTGTTCCAACTATGCCATTCCTAGAATAAGGTCATATCTTGCATCCAAGTCTAAGACTAGACAGCGTTCCACGCTATCAAAATCAAGGAACTTGACTCCGAGATCCACAGGGACCTTCGGGACCGTGACACGTGTCCCCGTCGCTAGGCGAACATTGACGATGTCACCCAACCGCGCTTTCAGCGCCTCAGCATACAGCTAACTTCCCTCCATCGTAGAGCGTCGAATACAATTGTCCTACGCCCCGATATCGATGAGAATCTTCCATGGCTTCTCGAAGTCCTTTACGGTCGCCTTTACGACCAGCAAGCCCGGCTTGCGCGCACGTTCCGTGTTTAAGAGCGCGGAGCTCTTCGGGGTTGGGCCCTGTTAGTTTCTACCTTCCTGAGACACAACAGAACTCAGTTCTTCCCCAGTTGGTCGCCCCGCGCCTACTGGGCGGTGACGTTTCCCCGCGACGAACCAGACTGGTAGGCATTAGGGCGATGGTTTGAAGAACCTTGACGCGCCTTGTGCAGGGGCAACCGTTTCGAAGGTGACGGGTGTTTCCATAGACAAAACACCGTCGTGTGTTTGGGTGTTACCCGGCAGCTCGGAGCTCTGCTCCCTCGTCCTCAGCATAGCTGAGATCCATAGGCACAGGCCCGCTCGACGAGCTGTTGGAGTGTGCATTCCTACCAAGTCGTGCCGACTATAAATTGAATTCGGCATTCAATGCCAAATTCATCGCCTCTTCAAATGAACATGGATGCACACGGAAGACTTCCATTCTGGCCACGCCAGTGCGGCGGCCTTCCATAAAGACGGTCACTGTAACCGCCTCAGGGAGGGGATCTGCTGTCATCCCGGCAATGAGAGTACGCATCAATTGGACCAAGTCCACCAATCTTGTTGGGCTGCGAGGAAACGCGCTCGCACGCGATATGCCTGGTTAGGCGGCGAGAATACTCGTGAGAGATGCAATTTCAGCTCCGTCCAGGAGAGAAACGCAGCTTCGACCGAAGTGCCGCACGGCCTCGCGCTCGACCACCCAGCTTTGAGATGACTCGCGCTGTTGCTCGGTCTGGAGCATGGCGGATACGATGGTCATTTCGACCTCTTTCACCCAGAGCAAGAAATTCTCTCCATCTTTCCCTTCGACGACCTTAACACTCACCATGAGCGGCCTAGGGTGTGGAAAATCATCCGTCACTGAAGACGCATATGATGCAGACATCATCTGCTGCAGGTGCTCTAGCAGCGCGTTTTCGTAAGTCGAAAACGCCTCTAGACGCGCACCGATTGCCTCGGGGTCTTGTGCTACTAAATGTTGCACGCCCTCAGGGCCAAGCAAGGGCATCAGCTTGTTAAACCAGTCCTGCGTGCCCTGGTGCAAAGAGTAAACTTGTTCAATCCTCACAGAGGATCAGTCTAAATGACTTAGGTGTAGATTGACTACAAGTGCTACCAAGTGCAGCGGGGCTGCCGTAGCTTTGCGCTTTGAGGAAGCGTAAGTCAGGTCACCGACCATAGTTTTTACTCTTAGAACAAATACGAGTCTTGCGGGTCGCAATCCGCTTACTCCATGAGTAATCATTGCCTTAACACAAGGCTTATTTACTCATCCGTTTAAATCCAGAACTGACTTTATTTATTTTTTTATGTGCGGGAAAGTCGCCTGTATAGATTTATCTAAATATATATAGTAAAATCAAAATACACGCATAACTATTGGCTACCCAGCCACATACCGTATTCTTATTTGGGTGCAGTCATACCATGCCCATCTCGTGTGACATACACCCCTGTTACCATTGGGGTACGTGTAGCCCCGTTACAGCTATGGCATCCGCCATGCTCCAGACGAGCAACAGCACGTGTCGCCAGCTATCCCCAAGCTTGTGGGCCGAGCGCGAGAATGGGCACTAACGTGCAGTGCTTCGGTTGAAGCTTCATTCCTCTCCTGGAAGAAGCTGAAGCGTCAGCTTTTGCGAGTGTTCTCGCCACCTTACCAGGCATATCGCGTTTGATCGCATTTCCTTGCGACACGACAGGGAAAGAAGGAGTTGGTGGACTTTGCCCAAGAGTTGAGAGCTCTAATTGCCGGAATGGCAGCCGATACTCTCCCCGAGGCGGTCGCAGTGACCTCTGTATAGAGGCTTTCCGCACTGGCGTGGCCCGAATGGAAGTATTCCGTGTTCATCCGTCCCTATTGAAGAAGCGATGCATGTGGCATTCAATGCTGAATTTAACTTTAAGTCGACACGACTTGGTTGGATTGCACATTCCAACAGCTTGTCGAACGGAGCCGAATCAATGGATCACATCTTCTGAGAAAGAGGGGGAAGAGCTCCGAGCTGCCGAGCAGCGTGTAAGCATCCGACGGCGTTTTGTCTGTGGAAACACCCGCAGGCAAATTAACAGAGGTGATCATTATAGGACCAAAAAAAGAGATCAACTAGTCGTCGCTTCTAGATGAAGCTGTTCTGGAGGACACTAAGAGGGTGCTGAACGCACGAAGAGGACCTTCAATCTTGTGGAATCCCTCGGATCCCTATTATTCCTATGTGAAGAAATTTCAAGACGTCGTCTCCAAAGACCCGCCGTCGGTCCCAACTCCGGACCGAGGTGTGCGTTACAAGATTAGCCTGGTGTCGGGAACTCAATACTGCGTAGCGCTCTTATATTATCTTTTAGTTGTGTCAGCCCGATTTCGGCCATTTCGCCGTTCGTCTAAGGCTCATATGGGCCGGGTCTCTTATTTAATCTTGGAGCATCGCGATAACGTTCTGTACTATCAGCAATTTCAATCCGCGTCGCCGCTTTAGAGTACAGAAAAACTCGGTTTTAGGGTAGGATAAAGGGTGCTCCGGCTGCTTCAGAAGTTATACATCCGATTGGCTCGAAAGTAAATCATGCTATGGATACATAGTAGTACGTAGAAAACAGATAGTACTGATATTCTCCTCTAAATGTCTAGCCTATCACTGATTCCCAAAATTTGATACGACCATGAACAGTGCGATGTAGCGTAGTAGCAACTTGGTCTTGTCGAATGCACGCACTGCATGGGTAGCTAGGTTGGTAAACTTTAATAAATCGTTTTGCCTCAAACCGTAGTCGCACATGCTCCGCTTGCCTCAGAATCGGCGTGTTAACTTTTTGTCTTAGGGTTCAGCCATAGCGTCGCGTATCCTACGCATGACGGCTTCCCAATCAATCAACCCTGAAGAGGTAATTTTCTTCGGCCTCAATCTTACACTTGTTTAATATAGCGAATGGCGCTTTTCAGCGTATATATCAAGCAATATCCACAAATACTCAATAGGGGTTATCTGCATCCCCATTTCCGTGCCCTGCACTAACAAAACGAGAATTCCGTTGAGATAAGTATGTGTTTCGCAATAAAATGGCCTGCAAAGCTGTGTAATCAGACGATTTATCGTCGCTGGTTCGTTAGTAAAAGCAGCCTTTACCAAAACATTCCTTTTGGAGTACAATTGCCGTTAGAAAGATATCGTGTGTCTCAGAGGCAGTTGATATATACCATTTACCATCGTCTCTGGTACGAAAGCCGCTTTCGATTCGGGCTCTACTCGAGGCACCTAGCAACATCACAGCTATTAATTTAAGACAGGCTTATCTTCGAAACAAAACTATCGCAGCTTCGTGTTTGGGCTAATGATGTCACTGCTTCTTGTTTATTACTCGTCAATGATCTAACAGAAGAGATGTTCTAGCCTCTATCTTTACTCTCAACATTGGTTGGAAATCTTTCGTGAGAATTGTGTCTGTAACTGCTTTCCAGAGAGGATCAGACGCCGTTGCGACGACCAGACATATTACCCCCTCGACACAGTCCGCCAGTTTGTGCCGCATTTCACGAATGTAAAATAATCTAATGCAACAATACGCCTGGTCAGGCGGTGAAATCTATCGTTTCATATCGTACAACATCAAGAATGCCTCGTCATCGACGTACTGCACGAAAATGCCCACTCTTGAGCGCGACCCTTTCGCAGAGAGGTCGCAAACGCGTCGCACTATGACCTCGTTTGGAGCAAGGCTAATTCCATGGCCATTTTACTTTCCTCATTCACAGGGAGATGAATGTAATCTTTATTCCAGCTCTCTGAGGTTAGCAAACTTAATTCCAGAGGTCTTACAAATTCTACGTCAGTGTCCAATATGGGCGTCCACGAATCTGCCTCATCACGGCAATCTCAAAACCAGAGAGCGCTCTATATCTGTTTTTGACACTTAAGTCGTTAATTTCCTGATTTCATTGGCACACAAGATCGACAGAACTTATTTATTTGGTCTGTCTTTGGTAAAAAACAGGTATTTGAGCATTCCAATTCCCACGACTCGGACATGTGACTGGCAATATCTGCTGAAAGAGCAACGGATCGCCGTACACTACGCGCAGGGTAAGCTTCGACGCTCAGATCCCGCGTTCCAATACCCAGATGTCGGGAGTGTGTGCTCATAACAGGAGCGGAACCGTGAGCCTCTCAGATAACAAGCACAGATAGTATTTCAATAGTACATATAATTAGAGCATAATCCAGTATATATTAATTCTAAATATACATAATCTACTAATTCTAACACTTTAACTCTTTTGGCTCTAACATGTGGTTGGAAGCCTAAATGGACCTCACATCCCTCATTTTAGGGATTTTGAGATCCGTAATCTTCATGAAACTCATTTCAGAACTTATTAATACGCACAAATCTCCTAAGCACAATATGACTTTCGTAATCGATACAATTATACCAAAAGTGTAAGCGTTAAGTTTGCAATATGACAGTAATTTTTACAGGCAGCCATAGTAGATCGCTTGAGATGACACCCTTGGTGAAGAGCAAAGTTTCTAAGGATTCGATAAACACATAAAGGTATTAAGTGTGTCACAATTCCAGAAGAGAAACTGTGACGCATCGCGAAAACCACAAAGCTTCTTGTGGAGAACAAAAATGAGTGCTCAGGCGTTCGATGGCTTGCTTTCCACGTAAGCGGGCCAAAACAAGTGACCAGTAAAAAATGTCATTGGCTTGAGCTATTACCATACCAGTGGGGATTCTCGATCAAAGAGCGCAGGTGGGTATGTCGATGAATTTCGTGCGATGCCTCGGCAACGTATCTCATTATCTTAGACGCAATGCATAAAAACTAATATTATGAATGTATTACAGCATAAAGATTAGGGCGAAAAAGATTGATGTGCAGTAAAGCATCATGATTCACACAGTGTAAAGAAATTAAAGATTCATTTTTTGTGTCAACATTTGAAAAATTCAGTGATATAACCGGCTCCGAATAAAAATCGTGTCGTTTTTATGTAATGTCTAGCTAAAGATTCTGATATAAATCGTTAGTACTTCTTACTCCCAACCAACAGGTATCAACCAACCCTTACGACTCCTACCTTTGGCGTTGAAAGAAGAGAGAAACGATGCAGTTAAGCAGCTATATAAACTTTTGCAGCGCCTCGACATTTGCTTATTGCCGTTCGACTTTACAAATTTAAGCATTCCGGAGCATATTGTATTCAATATATAACGGAATGGGTGAATATGGTCGTCGTTGTTCATTGCACAGGCTTGTGATTTTACAGATACGCGGCTGCTAGTAGCACATGCAGAATCTTTGGTCGTGCAGCTAAATGATTCGAGAGCACTTAGGACTCGTCGATATGCGAATTGTAGAACTCTGTTCAAGCAAAAGTCACCAAATCAGGGTTCACACCTGTTTATTCTGCTGATTGCATCGCGAAATTGCGAGCGATCAACGAGCAACCTTTGCACCTGTTATTCTTCGTAGCAACATGCACGACCATAATCACATCAGGACTAACTTCTGTAACGTATCACCAAGCGGCCTAGCACGGTTTTAGAAAAGGTGCGGTCCTCGCGACAGACGAACTTAAGGCCATGCTTAGTATGGCTGCAGAGGTGTCCTCGATGAGATGGATCACAGTGCCTTTCCGATGCCCGACACTTACTCTCATCGCAAGACGTTCCACAAAAGCAATCTATGTTTGCGGGGATCTCATACGAGTTAAAAGTCCTACGAGATGTGGTGTCATATATCTCCGCCGCGGGCCTATAAGTAACGTTCTATTCGTATAATTAAGCTGGATTTGTTTTAGCGAGCCAGAAAATACCCGTTTGCAGCCTCATTAGTTGCAATGACCTTTGTACCGCTGTAATTACGATTAGGTATATTGAACGTTGTTTATCGCACCACAACGATAACCTTAGCTACCATGTTGCGCAAGCCTTCAACTCAAACTCAGGTAAAGATGAGTGCAGGAGAGTCGGTTTGCAAGTGCCTTATGCCCCTTCAAGTCACCGATCCTCAGGGGTACTGCTTGCTCCTGGACGGCACCAGTTGTGTTATCTCGTTCTATTTCTGAGGTCTGTCCCCTTGGTACCGATGCTGTACTGAACATTACCTGGCTAATACATGAAGGTGGATCTCTGTACCTTTGATGTGCATTGAAGGGACAAAATCAAAGCAACTACATTTTGATAGATCCCATATGCACGTGTGCACTCATTATAAAAAGTGTCACGAATGTCAGTACAGATTTATGGTTCTTGCTTTAAAAGCTACCATGATAACGAGACAGACATATATTTAGTGTAGTGGGGCTGCTGTAGCACTTTGCTTAGAGGAATTAAAGCTAAAGTCATCACTTACGTTCTATACTAGAACCAGTATCAGTGTAGCAGATTGCAATCTGCTAACTCCAAGAGTACCAACAACCTTAACCCAAGGCAAATACACTCTTTCGTTCAATATGTAAAAAAAAATTGAGACACAGCCGCCTAATCTAAAGATATAGGTTACCTAACTAAATAAAAAATCTAATTAATTTTGCATGATACTGGCAGTCCCACCACATAGTGGCTTTTTGTTAAGGTGGTCGCACCATCTTGTGTGACCTAACCCTTCATATCAGGGGACGTGTAACCCAGTTACATATACCATCCGAAGCGTGTGGCGCAAACCAGTCACCTTGCGAAATTTTTTACAAAATCTTCTAGATCAGGCACCCAATGTTTACCCTGGATTCGAACACAGTGCATCCAGATTTTTATATATCAGATTTATAGGTATTAATTCTGTATGTATAGATTTTATACAATAATCCTTCAGCACTCTAGTAGTTACTTCAATATTACACTTCAGTTGCAATTATACGGCATTGCCACCAAGCCTTACTTATAAGCGCAAGTGTGCAAGTCTTTTTCGAGACTGTCCCGGATATCATTTTACAAATGCTGGTGATGGTGCTTAGAAGCTTCAAATTGGGCATGTCACCCTATCCGATTTACGGCTTTACTAGCTTGCGTCGGTTCATGTGCGGACAGAAAAACAAAGAAAGGCTGAGGTGAATATCAGTCACCCCGTTATTAAAGTGATGCTCATCTCAATGTGCGTGCTGGTTCAGTTAGCGAAAAAATTTCCGATTTAAATAAGATCGGGTCTCTTTCACTAGTAGAAGCGCGATTTGCCGTCTCTCTCTTGCACGGTGTGGTTGGTCATAAGAGGCAGTGGAGCCACTGAGAAGGCTCCTATGAGTTCTAGGGTTGTGGGCATCTCTTTATCACAGCTCTAATGTTTCCATCAACACAAATTTCTTACTCTAATAAATTGATCGCCCCTTGCTCATCGAGTTGTGTTTGTGAATAGCAACGCTGCCGTTTCGTGCTCGATTAATCTATCAACGGTATGGTAGCACGCCGACTGGCTTCAAGAGTGTCAGCATTCGGTCAGTACCGACAAAAGCCAGATTTTGGATGCATTCTGCCTTCTACGCCATCGCATAATGTTTTCAAACGGTTTGGAGATATAGTGTTGCCCAAACTTAGAAGGTAGATTGGCATTTAGAGGTTATTATTTTAAACGTAGCATAAATTCCAACAGAGAGCTTGACACACAAATGAGGACTAAGAATGTGGTTGCAGTATGTCTTCAACAAGCCCACGTAAATCACATGATGATTTCGCAGTCTCCACAGGAGATTTAGAGTGTAGCTCAAATTCTTTCTCGCTACAACTGTTAGCAGTGAGATGTAGGTATGATAGCTATTTCTGCTTTGGGTAGAGGGGCTGACGGCATCGTGACAATGAGTGCTGAACATTCGAATATGGTTCTCTAATTTCTGCCCTTCTCTACAGGTGGACAAGATATTTGAGGGCGCGCGGTACGCCTGACGAGGCGGTGCTAGCACAAAGCATCTCTCGCTTTGTCATTCGTCCACGTTATAAAATTTCTACTTAAGGCGTACTGAGCTCATGTGAGCATTCAAGTGCAAGCTAGCAAGGCCCACGGCGGCTTCGTTTGTTCCATAAAACCATCTTAACTCATCTTATCCGGAAGTGTATTTTTGTGTCCCAGCTCTCAATGTGCTGGACGCTTAGTAATTATGACCTTATAATTAAAAAATATTTTACCGAAGCCTGGTTAAAGTGCCTATAAAAAAGTATCACGAACGTATTTTCACAGTAAGTACGCACTTCAACCAAGCGATGATCGCTTCCGGTCCTTAAGCCCCCCACTCGGTACAACGAAGATAGAAGCCTTTAAACTTGGTTATTTTCTGTCCTCACGACGACAAGTGTCTAGGTTTTCTAGGGACCGAAATGAATTATTCAAACCGCATCGTCACAGAGAATTCTTGAGATCGTTGCGTTGACAACAATTACTCGGAGGGGTCGTTGCTATTGAGTCTGCACGGGCTAAGGCAATGAAGATAAGTCCGAATGCTACAAACAGAAGCAAAACAAAAGTCTCTAGACTGACTCGAGACCTTGTCCTTTATCGTTCAGAAGCGAGATGTAGTAAGCTGTATGTCTAGTTTAGACTAATACAAAAACTAACGTGTCTGCTGGCTAAAATGCGGAGCACACACGATGTTCATGTTCGTGCCTCGAAGATCGCCCCATCTTTGCATCCCAGCAAAACTTTAGATCCTTTTAAGCAGACTATTAAGTTGGAAAATACATACCAGATTGAAGCATTTGTGTAGAATCTCTTCAAACAGCTGCACTTATCCGTTTACTATGGATATCATCGCTGGAGGATCTGCTCGCAAGCTATGCCGCTAAATGAAAAAGTTCTGATTTTGTCGACGTCAGCGACACATTCGTTGTTATTGCCAATCGATTGAATGTCGCTGGGGCGTTGGATAGTCATTATGACATCTGATAACATATTAGTCAGTGTACTTACAGCCGTCAAAGGACGTCCTCCCCTTATCAAGATCTGGTAATATCCATCAACCAAATCAATTACACTAAACTGTCTACAGCCGGATGTCCGGTGGAATATGACACATTACGCGGAATCGGTGATTGTGCGGGAAGTGTCTGTAAATTAAACCTTTTACAGGCGTGAACAATAAGCCATTTATCATATGCTTTGCTGATACAAAACGTCAGTGTGCTGCGAGAGGGCTTGCTCCCCATCTCCAAACTAGCAGCTTGCATTTGAGCAAAGTCCACAGCAACGTACTCGCTCTGCTAACGCAACAGTGGCCACTATCGAAGCCCTGCATGCTTTAAACCAGGTTCACAATCAGTTTCGAGTCGGACTTCACGGTCGGGTGGAAGACGAGAGGGCGATTTCGCACTAGCGGCATCATCCATGAACTCCATAACAAGCGAATAACATAGATCAGCTTTTTTCTTAGATAGCCGATCCTCTGCGTGATTCCACACGCTGTCTAATTTATTTGAAAACCAAACCATCCATGAATGATGATGAGCATGGTTCTACTGGACAAACATCGGCTGTAGCAACTCGACCTTTGCCACTTGGAATCGTGTAGGAAGTCATCATTAGTGCCTTTATCAAGCTGCACCAGATCTTCCATCGTCCGTGACGTTTCCAAAAGAACATCTGTTCCGGCAATTTTGAACAACCATTGGATGCATCTACAATTCATGGAATAGCATATTCTCAAGCTACAGTTCCATCGTGGGTAGTAGTACGCTGGACTCACCCGCGGATTCAACAGCATCTAAAGCGGTAGTATCAGTGCCGCGATCACCGAATTCAATTGATTTTCCTATATATGTGTGATCAACTACACAACGAATGGGAGCATCACCTTTGGTGTCACTTATACACACTGAGCTACTATCAATCACCGCTTCTATCGGATTTTTCGATTGTCCACGTGCTTGACGCTGGCAGTAATCCCCAAGCAATGCATTCGTAATTGCGTTTTTTGGAGTCGTCGGAATCTGGAATAAGACTTCAGACCATAAGTGAGTTCCTCCATAAACACAGTAACCATTACAGCCTTTAGAAGTGGTTCGCTTGCCCTACTGGCACGAAGCTCACGGAGCTTCTGTACAATGTTCTGTTGTCTTGACGGCATGAAAAAAAATTCGACCGTTGTCCAAAGCTTCATTCGGCGGAAGAAACATCGACATCATGGCCCTCTCCAACTCTTGACATGTGGAAAAGTAGCCAGGATGGGTGACTTCCCAAATAATCGCCCAATCGTTCAAACGGCCATCCAATGCGATATGGCAAAGACCGCGATCATCACGAATTTGGGCCATCGCGACAGCGATGTCCATTTCTCGCTGCCAAAACGCAAAAATTCCATCTTCGTTTCCGCGAAAGCTTTTTACCTGATTTTTATGCGATGTTCCGTGTGTCACCACCACTTGTGGTGAAGGTGACGGAATCAGCCGGTATGTTCTGAAACAAAAAAATCCTTGCTCATACACAGCAAAGTTTGTTCAGCGTTGAGCTATCGCCTCTTGATCCAATTGGAGCATATCAAAGATCGCGTGATTTTCGACTAAAGCTCGCAGCTCTACTACATACTCTGTAATGGAGGTACACGTACTCTTGAATGAAGGGTGAATCCAACAAGATGGTGCGACTGTACATAGGTGTGGATTATACAAGTTAGTGTAATCACATAGTGGTGTGGCTACACCGTAACAAGAAGCCACCACATGGCAGGATTGCCAGTAGTAATGCATACTTTATTAAGAAGGTATTACTATATCAATTAGAAGAAACTACGATTTTAGATATTGGCGGCTGTGCCGCAACTAAACAAATGAGTACAGTTTCGATTTTGAACAGCGTGTTCGCTTGCCTTGGTAAAGGTTTTAGTACTTGGAAGTAGCGGATGCAATAGGCTCTAAACCTTCCCTAAACCGAAAAGTGCCTCCATTTTAATATAACAGAATGGAGGGATGTACAACTGTGCAAGGTACATAGTTTATATCAACCACACACAGAAGTATGTGGTTTACACAGCATGTGTAATGGGAGGTTATTGTAGTGTATTTGCACGATAGAGATTTATTCTATTGAATTATACACCTAAGATTAGTCTATCTCTAGTAGGCCGTTTGGTGACTCATCTCCGTTTGTCATGATTTGGATCATATGGATTTTGATTCAGGTGCCACAAACTGAGCCCCAGGGTCATTTGTATTCCAACCATAGAACAGTGCGTACGCCACACTGGGATTACACCTCTTTTGTCTTTATAAAACATTGCTCTTTCTAGTGCAAGCATTA